GTTTTGCATTTTGCTGATACCTACGCGGTTTTGCACTTTAAACGACGATATATAAATCTGAGAGTACCGTTAGTTTCTTCATGATCCAATGATCAGAACTAAACAAAATTAGAAGCTGCGATCCCGTATGAGTCCGGACTAATCAGAATTAGTCAGATTTTACTGGAAATCGATCCAGTACTCGGTTCTCTGACTATTGAGAGGACAAAAAAGAGTGTAAACACGGTTCTCTCTGTCAGAAGTTTGAAGTCCGAAGATTTTTTGCTGCTAAATTCTGGTAAGTGCGACAAACGATCAGCTGTAGTGCGGTTGACAACCAAATTATAAACAAAATAAAGGTTCATTCTGCTAATGCATGTTGAAAGGTGTTTAATTACTTGTTTAAGTGGATTCTAATGAATTTGAAAGAATTTTTGGTTTTCTACATGTGTGAGCTGAGCGTGTTTTACATGCAAAAATTTTGAAGTATATGTTGAAGTTGTCAGAAGTTATCATTTTTTACTAGAAAGCGATCCCGTACTTTTCAGTGTTACAGGTCTATTCTGCACGTTACCGAAGATTTTGTGATCGGAAAATTGTATTACCAAAAAATGTTACCACTTCTTGTCACCGCGATTCTAGGTACGTTGGTAATGCAGTGAAATTATTCAGCAGTTCAGCTATGGAGATTTGTGCAAATTCTTGTGTTGCATATTTCACGGGGCAATATTTTGTTACAAGAGCGCACAGAATGCAAAAAAGTAAAAATTGACAGACACTTTAATTACCGGTTACAAAATTTATGTTACGAGCGCAGAATAGACCTGTTAAGAGTACAACTCCACAACAAGCGTTTCAGGCGTTTGGCTCTTTTCAGGCTTTCAGCTACACAATTCGGATATTGCTGAAAGCCTGAAAAGCTCGGAACGCCTAAAAAGCGCGGAACGCCTAAAAAGCTTGTTGTGTGGTTGTATTCTTACTCTCTCGCTCTGAGCGAATTTTTATTTTTTGACAGTTTTACTAGTTTTAGTCGACAAAAAAGGGTTTACATGGTCCGAAGGTATCCGGCAGTGTTGTCGTTGTGCGACTAAAGGGGCAATTTGACCCTTTTTAAGCGCCAATACCCTTTAACCCGACTTTTTAAAAATTTCGATTTTTTGACCCTTTTCCAAAATTATATGCGACTTTTGCCCGTTTTCAGTGGTTTTTCAATGAAATTTTATTAGAACCATGCTTTAATAAAATACTTCCCTTTTTCAAAATTATATGCGACTTTAGCCCCTTTTCAGTGATTTTTCAATGAAATTTTATTAGAACCATGCTTTAATAAAATATTTCCTCCTGTAATTACGAAAAAATTCCATCAATTAAAAATTTTACAGGAAATGCAAATTGATTTTTGTGTATGTTTGCAACCGTGTTTTGGGTAAATCTTGACCCGCTATTTTCTTTTTAAATTCAGCAGCGGAATGTTCTAGCAGCGAAAAGACTATAATATGTACATGCAAATTTGATTTTGACTTTGGTTCTCAGATTTATTCTTTTACCAGTAAAGAAAAGCAAAAATAATTTGACCCTTTTTTTCGTCAATTGCACCATTTTTGCGACTTTCTGAAAATTCTCAACGGCAACACTGGTATTCGGTAAAATGCTGTGACGAATACTGCGGACACGGGAACAAGAGCTTAAAGCGGACCGCAGGTCACGGTTGCCAACCGTCCCGTTTTCGACGGTCCCTGATTTTAGAGCTATGTCCCGGTCCCGGTACAACACATACCGAGACGCGATATGTCCCGGTTTTTGGCAAGAAAAATTTTTAGACATCTAGTTGTAAAAAAAATTAAAACTGTTAAAATATGTACATTAAGGTGGTCAAATTGTTCAGACGACAGTTTTTTGACGAATCGTATGGTATTTCCGGTTTCTCTAGATAATTCTAAGAGGAAAAAAAATATTCTCAAAATTTTATTTTTTCGTTATATGTTATATGTTTACAAAGTGTTCACATTTTGTTACAACTATGTAATAGATACAAAATGCCTATTTCTTAGGTTACAACATTTTTAATTGATTTACCATATTTAACGTCCAAAATTCGTGTCAAAATTATAAACGCGTCACATATTGACAAGTTTTAATAATATATTTTTTGTCATTAAATTTTAGTTATTTTTTTTTGCCAAGATATGGTTTACTCTCTAACAAAAATCGTATAAATCTATGTTTCAACCATGATAAAAACATAGCAAGGTATAACCGTTCTCTCAATTTGTCGGCCATGATTTTTTTTTGAAGTTTGCCAACATTTTAAAATCATATAAATGTGAAAATAAAAAAATGAAATTGTTCGAAATTGTTGTTGCTTGAGATTGAAAATGAAAATGTGTGTGTGAGTTTGTGAGTAAATTTAAAAATTAAATTGTTTGGAAACGTCAAGAATTTTAAAAGTGACTCTCAGCGGTTCTACCTTACTATATTTTTATCATGGTTTCAACCTTGTGCAATATTTCAAAAAAAAAAAAACTTTTGTAAAAATTTAAAACTTTTTAGATGGATTTCTTAGAAAAATTTTGAGTATACAGTTTCGTGGCACATTCAATTTTATTAAAATAAAGTGTAATTAGCTAAGATTTACCGTCGATTTTTATAACTTTTTTTTTGTTAAAAAAAAGTAATTTTTTATGGAAGAGGCACTGTCAGCAAAAAAATTGGCACAAATCAACGGTAACTCCTAAACACCTTCATATCGAGTTTTTGTTCTTAACATACAAAAACCATTTCTTTTCAATGTTTGTTAATCTTTTAAGTTAAAAATTCACAAAACAGATGTATTTCGCTCCCTAAAGGTGAAAACGAGCAAAGTCCACTTTATTCAAAATTTAGTTTTTAATGCAGAATGACAGATAATGCGAAACTACATCGATTTTTCGTCTCTCCTGAACAACTTCAAAAAATGAACTTGGCACATTTTCACCTTAGGTAACGATAATTTTTCAAGTCTTTAAATGCAGAAATCTTTTTTGCTTTATGTTTAATCAGCCGAATTATCTGACGTGACGCTACCTGGCGTTACGTTACTAAAATTTCCATTGAAAAAGTTGTGTTATTATTGTTATTGAAACAATTTTTAACGGGAACAAAATATATATTTTATCTCGGACTTACTTTTTATTTTGACATCAGCGACCCCAGCGTTTTCATTTTTTGCAAATCTATGTCTAACTACGGTTCAACTAAATATGCCAAATGTGAAAAAAATCAGAGCAGAAATAAATACGGTTTTTCAAAATATCTCGACCCTGGTGCCACCTAACGTGACCAGTTTTGGCAAAAACGTCCCTGCTTACATAACCAATATATAGTACTATAAAAATCAGCCAAATCGGCCAATAAATAAGTTAGATATAGGACTTTTATCGCGGTAGACTTTTTGCTCGAACCGCCCATAAATTTTTAAAAGCTTTGCTACGAAACGATCGAAAAGACGATGCATTATTACAGCGATAGAAACCGCAGATCAAATAGATTTGAAAAGCTTCAGCCTAAAATTGCCAAAGAGTGTCGTCTATATTCGTGCAAAGAATGAGAAATTTAACAATTTTAAAATGGCTCGTCTAAGTACGACTTCCAACGAGACGCCGAGGAGATATCCATCAACAATCAAAAGAATGAATACGCAGCTTGGTCATCTTAAGTATATGCAGGAGACATCCCAAAAGTTGAAAAATCGGAAAAGGCTCCGTATTCATCTATGGGTGTAGACATCAATATGTTAGTGGCTGCAATTTCATTTTTGATACAAAAATTACATAAGTTTAGGTAAATTTAGTCAGAGATAATGCATTACTTAAGGATAGAAAAAATAAAATTGAGGAGAAACAGGATAAAATCGAAGAGAGACATGGACAAAGTCGCGGGTTAGGTGGATGAGTTGGAAAGTCCTCTCCGAGATTTGCAGTTGAATCGTCCAGGTGCTTCGACGAACCGCTCCGAAGGTAAAAGCCCCATCCTTTGACACCACGATTCCCTTCCAAGTTTTTAGGGGCCATTACGAAAACACTGCTGCAGCAAACAAGAGGTTCATGAAGGATAAATCCGCAGCGCTGTTCGTTCATTAAAGTTACCTGCAGCGGAGATCCTGAAAACTGTTCCCGAGCGTGGAAGGGACAGCTATGAGGAGTTGATGTTTGCCAGCACAGGAAGCAGATTTACCAGATGGAACTGGAACACTGCTGCCAAAAATCCAACGAGACTTTACAGGAACTCGCCTTGGAGTTTGGCTTATTAAGCTACTCATCTGTGAGTACCTCATTCAGCCTGGCTCATTCGTCCAAACGCAAAGCTGAAGAAGATGAACCAATCCCCAAGTCTAAGCCATGGTTAAACTAAAATAAGGCAGCAGGAATACGCACTGGCTCCCGCAGTTGAAGGACCCAAATCTCCATCTCACAAATTGTCAGGATGGAGAGCAACCTCCCTTTTGTTGGTCTACACTGGTTGTAGCACTACAAAAAAGTAGTCATGGCAAGCCAGTTAGATAGCGGGATGCGGCAGAGCCATCAGCATGAGGATCCTGATTCAGCAGTTGAGATGCTAAGGAAACGTACAACCAGGGAGGTAGTGTAAGTAAAATGCAAGATTGCAAAGGCGTACTGGAAATAAGTAGTGGGACAGTTTGAAGCTAATATCTACTTCTTGCATCAGATATGAAAAAGGGAAGATGACCGATGCATCCGAAATGTAGTGGTTGTTCCAACGATAAGAGATGCGGACGTCTTCATCGAGTTCCACAAAGGTCCCAAATAGAGAGCACCTGGAAACCCAAAAACCCCTTTTAAGGATTGAGGAGAGATTCTATCGGATTGGTTTTCGCCAGTCGGTCAAGGAGTGTATTGTAAGAGGTGCTAAGTGCCCTGCAGCCAGAGGATCGAAGTCTAGGAGTCACTGAAAAAAGAAGCGGTATAACTCTGTTCTGGCTAGAAGCATGACCATGTGAGACCTCGTACTCCAAGGGATAAGCCGGAAGGAAGCTTAAATCAGGCATCGGATCGAGAGGCGATATGGTGTTGTTGCACGAGACGCAGCGGAAAGAAGGCTTCGCCTCTAAATCACGAAGTAACTGGAAAGGTCCGTACAAGGCCATCAAATGGTTGAATGACGTGGTGCATGGTATCTGCGTTAGGAGGCGGCAGTCCTTGGTCGCTGTTCGCCCTAAGCTGGAAAGAGGGCAGCGCAGAAGCTGCATGAACGGCTGCGTTGCCCCCAGTCCAGGGAAGAGTTGAATGGAGATTCAACTAAGCCCTCGCAGCCACGACAAGGTGTCTGCCCTAACAGAGGGTCAAAGAAGTAGCTGATGTGAAAATTCGAGCTGAATTGCTGGCGATAACGGAACGTCCCGATTGAGAGAAATTTAAACTTATTTAATCCGCCAAAAAGCTCCATAAAAAACTTCATGTCGCTGGGAGTGAATAGGGCAAAACTGAAGAATGACGGTACTTTTTACAGAGACTTTTCAAAGCGCATACAGAAGGGAGAGTTTCGTCCAGCTGGGTAGGATGCGTGCCCAAACATTACATACAGCACTTTTCTTGACAAACTCCAACAACTTCTTTGAGCCCTCTTTCAGCGATAGGAGGCATACATAGAAATTTGCAAAATAAGCAATTTAGTAGAAATTAAGAGAAAGATTTTTACGCGTACAAAATAAAACATATTTAAAATAAAACTTGTGGATCGGCCTATCGTCCTTTTTGGGATAGCGAATGTTATTAAAATCTCGAAAAATTAGTAATCGATAGTTTTTACTGGAAAAGAATGTTCACAGAGCTAGAATGTGAAATGATTTATCTGGTCTCCCTGCTCTACTTAAGGAACTGTCTCAAGCGCATGCCTCAAAATATAGAGCGCTTCTACTGAGAACGTAGGTGCAACAATTTATCATCAATATACAACTGCATGTAGCAGTCGTCGTTTTGCCATTTGGAGAGATTGTTCGGTCACCGGCATAATATTATAAGCGTTGGATCTAAATAAACACAACTAAATTAAAAAAAAAAAAACAAAAACATTTAAAGCATTAGAAGGTAAATTAAGTCGAGAGTGGTTGAAGTTTTTCATTATGCGCTCTGCTGAAACTGAAATATTTGCAATTATAACACTTCAAATAGCTCAGATTAAAAGATGAGTGAACTAATTAGTATGTGTGTTAGTTCGTTAGCTTTGTAACTTCGTTTATATTTAAACACAAGAAGTTTTTTAATAGTTGCTCATGTCACGATATACATATTCCTGCCTAAGCGCGATTGTGCCGGCTAAGAGATAAGAGCTTTATATTAAAAAAAAAAAAAAGCGATTAACAAGAGCCCTTACATGAGCCATACCATTTAATTCGTGTAAATGTACTATTGATTTGAAGCAATTAATTTTAAATTTATATTTCGTACATTCATTGTTCTTGTGAAACGTTGTGATTACGAGTGCGTCCAGCTTTTCAATTTCCTTAATTAATGTTTGACTAAGTTACTAAATAGATATGCCAGTGATTGACACTTACATATGTATGTATGTACTTACGCATGTGTATATGTATATACATACATATGTATGCACGTTTTTCCTGGCTTTATTTATAATAAATATTTTTTTTTTAAATTATGAAGTAAATTTGAACATATCAATCGTACGAGCTGTACTACAGATTTGTAATGCTAAATAAAATTCGCTGAAATTACGGAGTCAATTACACCAAAATGTGTATATCACAGTCTGAAATATCTTCGATGCCCATTGCATTAACAACGACATCTATGGAAAAAATACACCATCAACGCTTTCTCTTATCGGCACTTATATTGGAGCTACTTACTGCGGTTGCATTGTTATTGCAGCTGCAATTGGTTTCAGCGGGCTCATGTCGTGAAGCGCAACTTTGTTGCGCTGGGCGTGACTCCTCTTGTGTAGTTCAAAAAACTCCGATTAACGCCATTATTGAAGACCTCAACGACAAACCATGCTATTGTGATCACGCGTGTCTGAAGCTAGGTGACTGCTGTGGTGACTTCAAGGATCATTGTGGAGGTAAATTTATAAACCAACCAAAAATTATTGGGCTACATATGTACATATATAGTTGCATATGTTTGATTCAACAACTTCGTTTTCAGTGGCTTTATATGTACATATGTATATACATACGTATGTATGTGTACAATAAGTATTTAATTAGTATATAGAAATTAAAACAAAAAAGTTTTGAATGTATTAATAATCGTCCGCTATGGCTGTTTGGTTAGAGCTGCATACTACCACTGCGTAGGGCCCGGATTCGATCTGGTCTGAGCAACATCTAAATTAGAAAAAGTTATTCTCGCTGACCTACGAGTGTATTTCTGACATGAAAAAGCTTCTCATAAAATCAATTTGCCGTTCGGAGACGGCGTAAAGCTGTAGGCCTCTCCATTTGTGTAACATCAATACGCACACTACAAATTGGTGGAGAAGCTCGACCAAGCACTCAGTAAAAGTATAGTCGTCAAAATATTATTATTATGGTTAATATTATTATATTATTAATTGCACTGGTTTGCGCAAAAATGTTCTATGGATGCCACTCTCCAAGTCCTATGTAGAATTGCTCGGTGATTCCGAAAGTCAAGTTAACTTCTTTCCATGGATAACTTTTCGAGCTATGTATTTGCGATTTACTATTATTCAGCTTAAAAAAATAGTGGTTCCATTTAATCTCGAATATATTACGAAGCAATCCATAAGCCGTATACACATCCCTTTTCAATAGGCTTGATAGTTTCTGAGAAATTTATTAATCATTCCAGATTTTTTGTTTGTTTAATGTAAAAATTAAAGAAACGCAAAATTTAACAGAGAAAAAAAAAAAGATGCTGTGTCAATTTTTCCATGAAAAAACGCAAACTTTAACAGGAGGTAAAAAGTGCTTTGCCAGTTTTTTTCATTTGTATTAAAGCCTGTTCCGTTACAAAAAATCAAGCTACTAATGAACAAAGTCGATGGATAACACAGGTTTACAAAAAAAAAGCTTATGCATATTAAACCAAACCTATATGTCCCTTTGTTATTCGACACGCTGAATGCGAATCCGAAGTCCGTTAGTCTCCACCACGTCAGGTTCGTGGTCAGTTGAAGGTCAAGTAGAGAAAAATTCATTGAATAAACCTGTTAACCTTCATAATGTCAGCTTCGAGGTCATTTTAAGGTCAAATAGGACATACAATTTATTCAATAAAAATTAAAAAAAAAAAATTTGTTTTTGTTGTCACTGAAACCGAGTATGGAGGTCCCTTGAATCCTCAAGGTCATCTGGAGGTCAAATTCCGATGAAATTTATTGAATTTTCAGGTTTATTCAATGAATTTTTCCCTACTTGATCTTCAAATGACCACGAACCCGACGTGATGGAGGCCACACATTGCATTCACTTTTTTTTTTGTAAACCTTTGTAATTAAAGATGGAATGAGTGGTCAAATGGAAATGAACAAAGATTTTTTCTATGAAAAAATGAGCAAGAAAGAATGTTTCTCATACGCCATGTACACCTGAGAAACACTATTTCTGCTCATATTTCATACAAAAAATCCTTGCGCATTTTAATTTCACCACTCATTCCTTTCTTATTTATCCATCGATTTTCTCCATTGGTAGCTTTATTTTTTTTAATTTTTTCCACAAAAAAACAAAAAATTTGGAATGATCAATTAATTTCTCAGAAATTTTTGGGCCTATCTAAAGTGAAGTTTACACGGTGAATTTTGATTGTTCAATTCGTTCGCAAGATATACGTGATTAACTCTTTCGGCAGCACTGGTTTAGAATTTGCGCCACATATGTTTTGGATGTTGCGAGAAGGTGGTACATATTTTAAACCGCAAACATTTTCCTCTTTCTATTTTTTATTTTGTTTTATTTTATCTTTTATTATATTATTATATTATTTTTTATTTATTTTATTTTTTATTTATATCTATTTCTTTGGAATTTTTTGAATTTATATTTTTTGTTTATTTATTTTTGTTTTTTGAGTTTTAGTTCATATTCAATAAATTTTTATTGTTAAAAACAAAAACCAAAAAAAAAATTTTCCTTGGCGCTTAAGGGGATAAAAAGCTATTGAAATTTTCGTCGCTCAGCGAATTAAGTACAACCACACTTTGTATTAAGCTGCATAATCGTAAATTGCAAATAGCTCCAAAAGTTATTCATTGAAAAGAATTTATTTATTTATTTTGGTTTAAAATACACATACATACATACATATGTAAAAATTACGTGATTGACGGAAAGTTACGTGATTTTTCCCACCCACCGGCGGTTTTTTGGCATCTTGATTTTTCAAAACCGGATATTTTTGATCGAAAAACCCGTTTTTCATTTCACACCTTTCAATAAAAGTTTTGCGTATTTCGTAGTTTTCAAAGCTTTTCCATTTTAAGGAAAACTCGTTACTAGTTTTAAAATTATATCGTAGAATATTTGGGGACGAATAGTATATCATATTTGACTCCAAATCGTGTTCTCCTTCTTGATGTGGTGACACAAATGGAGAGATCTACACTTTTACGCCACCTCCAAATAATATTTTTTACGGCAGTAGGATACTCGGTGGGGCGACCGCTATTTGAACAAACACTTTTGATGTTGCTGGGACTTGAAATTGAACCATAAGCTTCCCAAGTAACAGTAGGCACATCTAAGCACTCGGATACGGTGGCGAGAGCACTACTCAAATCCGAAAAAAATCAGAAAAAATGCAATAAAGTATTAAAAAAAAGTTGAAGTAAGACCAAACGTAAAATATTCACTAATTTTTTTTGCTTTGCTCTTTTCTAAATATAAGCTATCTTTACCGTTAATACCATACATATATGTATTTAATATAGAAATACACTCATTTCACTTTAAATTCATAAAAGTTGACAGGCCCAAAAACAAACCGGTTAACTTTGCTGAGTCTCTACTGTATATGCATAAGAGCAATGCATGTTTTCGTTTCCTAAGCTTTACTTTACAAATAGCATTTATTATTCATAGAAAGAGGGCACGCAAGAGTAAATAAACCGAATGGTGGAATAAAACAATGGGTTTACAGGAACCATTGGTTTTGTGTACTACTACTCGTACCAGAATTAATAAACATTTTTCGGTATGTCATAAGAAAAACAACATTTCTACAAACCTTATACCTATCATATACCAACAAAAAGGATAAGGGTTCTTAAGACGACAATATTTCAACTCTGCTCCCAATAAAAATCAGTAGGTATAACAGCTTTAGAAATATTTCCTAACGCTAATTTTGAATACTCGTACGTTTAGAGTATTGCTCAGGGGGTCTACTCTCTATTGCGATTCGGAAAGCAAATCATTCGGATTCGAATACTTAGCACTATGAATTTGTATAAGTGCTTGTCGACTTTCGAATCGCATTGAGTTTCGAGTAAGTATTTTCTTATGCTGATTCTGAGTCGGCCGACTGGTTTAAGAGGAAAAGGTTCCATAATCACCGGAAAGTGTAAAGTAAAAGAATTCTTTGAAGGACTACAAAAAGTCGAATGCCGAATTTTCACTACATAGACATCGAAATGACAAAAAATCGGTACCATTTAAAAATTGCCAGGTGGAAATGAACTTAATGACCATTTTTTGAATCCAATGACACGATTAGTTTTTAAGGCCCAACTTTGTTATTGAAATTTTTGTCATTTAATGGATAGTGGAAATTCAGCATAATAGTTCAATTAAAAATCGAGAAGGGATCCCAACCAATGAGTGTTGAATATGTAGAAGATTAAATACATTTTATGTTGTTGCAAGTTTACCTTCGCGCTAAAACACCGTTCTTGAGCAAACAATAATGTGACATGGAGCTTTAGCCTGACATATACCAATTAATTTTAAATTTAACTTTTTTTTTCAACTTTTCACAAGTAAAAAGTAATCTGCGAACGAGTGTTTGTTTCCTTTTACCAATGTGCACGCACATACATACATACAGACATGTACATAGTACAGCTAACTGTATATACTTAGTTAAGGTATTTGAAAGAAACCTTGAGATAACGCTCGACAGCGACACAATTGATAATGAAGCCATTTTGTAATTCTGTCAGAAGCCGCACGAAAAAAGTTTTATCATTAAAGAAGGCAGCATAACCATCCCAAAATATGAGGTGGGGAGTAGTGTACCGTCTTAGGATGGGAACACCGCTTGTGGCATGTAGATTGACAAATTGCTACGCCATTTTATTTTTATTTCTGCAGTCTGTCTGGTTGGGTTTTTGTACGAGCCGACGAAAGAGGATGTTCGTTTGTGTTTATATGTACGCGTCGCACGCCAGCTTAAAGTTTGCTAAACAAACCGCACATTTACACTTTTGTATGTACATCTGCATGTACAAAACACTTTGTACGCACCCACAGTTAGGCACACACACTCACACATACATTTTATGTACATCTGCACATACATACATATGTAAGTAGGCCCAAACAATACAATATGTTGCCTTGTTGTGCGTGCTTGTGTGAAAGCAAAACAAAACAAAGGTGTGTTCTATTGCACACTCAACTCAACATCAATGATGATGTGACGCCGAGAAATTTAAATTTTATACGCCTAATCGAAGGCGTTCGTGCTAATCGATCCACCAAACGTGCGCTAATAATAGCTTGCTTTAATTTGCGGTTACAGATTAACCCATTTTCATTATTCTTTATGTGGCACAGCGAACTCTAGAGCTAACAAATTCCTCAAAGGATATGCATACATACTACATACCAACAGTGACGAACAAAAGTATTGGCACAGTGAATTTTTCGCCATATATGCAAAGGTTTTTATTCTAATTTATTTTCGATAATTTTTTATAAAAATATAGTTCATTCTACACCAGAAAACGTAATAATAAAAACTCTAAACTTTGTGCAAAACTCAGGAAAATTCATTAAATTTGCACACT